TATTGCTGAAATGAAAGAAGAGGTGGTCCGATATTGGGACAGCATGGACCACGCCTTTCTAACTTCTTTGATCAGTAGTATGCCCCGCTGCATTGAAGCCTGAATTGCTGCCCATGGTGACTTGACAAAATACTAACTGTTCACCTGTCTTTGAATCTGGAGTTATGTTCTGCTAATAATCACATTTAATACGTGAGTAATGAGTGAATAAATTTAAAATATTTACAATCTTAAATTCTCAATAATTTCTGGTTGTACTGTAACTGAATACTTTCAATTTGTGTCTGAAAACATGTGATACCCGCGATGCTGGAACTCGCATCCCATGGTTACGTGACCTATAATTGTCGGCCTCACATACATGTTTAGGGCACCCTAAGATTATAGAATCTGGTTCCATAGACTGCGTCAGCACCGGACACGAGTATTGAGATGAACAGTTTAAAGAATTTTTGTGTATTTTTCAAACATTTGCTTGAAAGAATTATATAGATTTTTAAAACTAAAAAAGTGAGGGCTTGTCTTGAACAAAGAACAAACTCGTTATTGTCGTGAATTTGAATCAGCTGATCTGTGACTATTGCTGTAGTCGAATCAAGCGTCACTAACGTCCTAGCCACTTCAAGACAATCACGAATTTGGCGATGATTGATTTACAAATATGTCTTAAAATACTCGGAAGTTAAAAAAGCAATTCCGGCTATAAGGAACCTTATTTACGATCGCACCACAGCATGTCCAATGGTACATACGCTGACCAAGGGAGGGACAGTCCCTTGGTGTGTCCTTGACCTGGTCACTCAATTCATCACAGTCAGGTCACAAGAGGAACATGGAGTACGTGCTCAGCTATCTGTCTGACTAGGGTAATGTACAGGAACATGACATGTACATCAGGAAGCCTGTCAAGGAGCCTTATAATTGTGTAACTGTGTCTGCCGCTAATATGTTTCCATATGGGGAGATCAGCAAGCTCTATTGTGTACTGTATTACCTGGGCCGTCATGTGAGTACTGTTTTACGCCGCTCTCAGCGCTGCTGCAACCTATGTAGTGATATTGAACCAGAACATGTGTTAAGAGCAAGAGCCTTGTCCGCTAATATTTAAATATCGATAAAAATAACTAAACTGTTGTTTTTTGCATATATCTAGATTACTGTCACACAATGAATAACTACAACTCATAAAGATGCACATTTAATTTTCAGTTTTGGCTGGTACAAATTAAAGAAGACATGTACACTGAAATCTCCTAACTTCGCACCCTGTTAATTCGGGAAGATAACTGCTTTGTTTACTGAAAGGTAGTTCCCCATGGGTACAATGTGTGAATCCCATTTCTGATGTCCCAGCAGTGATGTTGCTGGAATATTGCTGAAGGCAGGGTAAAACTAAATTCGCTCACAATCAAAGGTAATTCATCAGAATACGTCCCACTGAACCCCTATGTTTGTCTCAAAAGGCCACTCAATTAAACTGATTAAATTTAACTGACGAGGAAAGTGCTTCATAATATCAACCACCGGTTTGTATGACCAAGGCTATACACGTGCCGCAGGAAATTGCTGGAATACGGGGCGTAAAACATATCATTCGTTCATCGGGACACACATGTACTGACTGACTGACTTTTGGTTTTACGCCGCTTTTAGCAATATTCCAGCAACATCACGGCGGGGGACACCAGAAATGGGCTTCACACATTGTACCCATGTGGGGATTCGAACCCGGGTCTTCGGCGTGACGAGCCAACGCTTTAACCACTAGGCTACCCCACCGCCCCCACACATGTACAGTTATATTAGTGGAGTTCATTCACTATTGTGTGATTAGATTTGTCTGCCTTGACCATCGTATACTTGATGGAGATAGGAGGTGCCTTCCTGCCCATATCGTCCACAGGCTCTCGTTTCTTTGCGAAGATGTAATGTTAAAAAAAATATTTTTTGAGATGACCCCCGATGACATTATGACATAAAGTATTGGACTGCGAAGCATTTCGAGCCGGGAGTCACCTCAAAATTTAATATTTTTTAGCATCTTTAATCCTCGCCACGAGAGCCTGTGATATCGTCTTCATTTGAAATACATTGCTATCTGAAAAAATAAATCCTTATCTGTAAACGTGCAGAATACACGGATGTTATTGTGGGCCCAGCATACGGTGGCCTTCCTGGGTCAGTTTCATCATCTTCCCGCTTAAACACTTTTATATTTTTAATCTTAAAAATATTCTGGATGTTGTACTTTTCACCGGCTGTAATTGTGTTTTTGATCGCCCCGAGATAGCAAAACCCACAGAGTGATGTCCGCACTGAAACAAGGGAGCGTTACTTGACGTCAATAACACCTATAACAGCCAGCTACGTGTGTGTGATTGATTACAACTATTGATAAAACAAGGAACTATAACAGTAAATAAGTATCATAGTTTGGCAGATCGCTTTACACTGTTACATCGAGCCTCATTAATCACTATTCCTGTCAGGGTGAAACTTGATGACGTCACTCCTGTTGTGTGTGAGGCTCGCGCAGGCTTACCTCGTCGGGAACTGTCACGAGAGAGAGAGAGAGAGGAGAGAGAGAGAAGGGGGAAGGGGGGGCTGAAAATAAACAATTCCAAAGTCTATTCCAGCAACAACAAAAAAGTCTGGACTAGACATTCGAGTGATTGACATCATGAGCATTTGTCTACGCAATTGGGATACAATGTACGATGTAACCAAGTCAGCGAGCCACCGTTTGTTTCCTCCTACACACATTTCACGACATGCGTCTACATAAATAACAAATCCAATTGAGTACCTTTTACGGGTGCACTCACCTTTTCGCTAACAACGGGTGTTTTGTTGTTGGATAGCGACTACAAGTGGAATCTCGATATTGAATCTGCTTTTGACAACGATTTCTTATGATTATGGAAAAAGTTCTGTCTATTTTGTTATCGCTGAATCATTCGATCTCATATTTTGACTTAAATTGGAATAATAGTATTAATTTCCCCATGTTAAGTTTGTTATTTATCCAATTTCCTGCAATGAAAAAGACAACATTTTTCTTATACTTTTTCGTTATCTTGTCTTTGTTTCACCTTAATGGCAAATCGTTTAAGAAATATTTGTTTTTAAACGAAAATGTGTTTTTTTAGAAAAGCTTCAATTTACATGAATTTTTTTATGAAATACCAAATGAATGAAATAATAATTTGAAAGAAATGTCCTTTCTCCCTGGATGGATAAATATGTAATGCATCAGTCGTAAAATACACTTTGAAAATATGCACGTCGGGTAAAATTATCATTTCTTTTAAAGGTAACACATAAAAATACGGACTAAACACAAACAAACAAGTCAGCAGCCAATACAAATAAATATACAACGCATAAGAAACTGACAGCCTGACTAAGATCTCTTTGGCATGTCGTGTTACTGAGTCAGGTTACACATAAAACCCTCCCACTGCCGTGACCATGATGCGTAAAATAGTTGTCTCTTGGTTGTAGGGCTGAAGATATGTTGTTCTATTTCCCCTCACAAAACACTCACCCACGAAGTGTCTGGTATAGCCGTCACAGTCGCCAATGGAAAGCTGCTATATGCTGTGTTATGCTTTTGGACGTACTCTTAACAGCGACGGGACAGTATAACGAATTGAAATATCCCACAAGATGAGCAGCTTGTGTTCAAATTTATGTTCTCAAATAACCACGATTGGTGGTACAAAAGCGAATACAATTATTTTATATACAAAAACAAATAAAACAGATACATATTAATAAATAATTGTATATATAAATACAAAATATAATACGAGAAGGCTGTAATTGGTTTATGTTTCTTATAAGGGGTGATACTTTTGATACAAGTTTTGATGAATTGATAATTTCTTAAGTGTCATTAGTTGGAAATAATTTAACAAAAATTTTAATATTTTGTTTTGGGGGATAATAAATATATATTTTCTTGCATCACAGAGACTTTAACATTCAAAAATATAATGAAATAATGTTGAAACAGAGAAAAGACATAGAAAAGAACATTTAGAAACAAATGTTAGCACTTTGGATATGTAAAAGCTTCCCCCAACGTGGGTCTTTCGAGGGCGAGCTTGTATGAGAAGGCGTTCCTATTAATCTTGTTTCACATTTAATCTGACCAGAGAGAAAACAATGTAACATTACAATCATTTGTGTATACTCGTTTCAACATTCACTTCATATGTTTAGCAGTGCAACTTTCTTTATTCTAGACATTATACAATCTTAAAGAGAGCACGGTGATACATCATGAAAACAAATATACCTGTTACAGCACTGAAGTGTAATGAGTATGTGTCTTTGTTTCGTTTGTCATTGAGTGATGTAAATAACAAAAGAGCGGTATGGTTGTGAAAGGACATCAATCATTCATATGCAATAAAAATCGTTTTTTCTTTCATTACGTAGTGTCTACAAAACCCTCGTTTATAAAACTTTGCTGAAAATCAGTATTTCACGAGTAAGCAGTTATTTTCGTCAAATAATACAACAAAATACTGAATACATTTTTCGGAATTTGTAGATAAACATACTTCGACCAAAAAGTGTAAATTTGAATTGTATAACTACGAAACTACAGGCCATCAGTCAAGAATATACTGATGAATATTCATTGACTCAACGTTACATGGAAGTACACATATTTCTGACGTCGGAGTCTAATTTTATCAAACAATCTGACACTTGTTCTACTACGCTCATGACGATATCTTACGTAAATGAAGATCCCGACAAATGAATTCCCCTAAACTAAAATTATATTTCCTCATACGCTGTCGCCAGAGGAATGAAAATGCCTGCAAAACCTGTCTCCCGTCTCGCTTCACTTATGACAACCTTTAACGCATTGTGATGAAACGCATGTCACGTGACATTTGCTACCTACTGTAGACGTCAAAAGGCCTATGCATCATTCTCAGTGAGAGGTATCCCAGCCTTTCGCTGTGACGTTTTGTAATTAATCTCTTACTTTTGATTGGTGGGACTAATCTTGTTTCCTGTCCTGCTTCACTGGTATAAGAGCGGAAGGGGAGCAGCGAGTAGACCAAAGAAGTAACCCTCCTACAGTTTTGAGGTCCACACCCCATCAGAAACGAAAGGTAAGACACCTTCACCAAGGTTACAGTCTATATTGGTCTCGTTTCCACGATGTGCGCCAATCTCAGCACTACTGTCACGTGTCTTTGTCAAGGATTTCAAAAGGGAATAAGATCGTCTAAGAACTAAAAACACAAACACGACCTCTATATTCAGGCATTGATATTACGATCAACTTGAGGAACAGTGTCCGGACACCTTATTAAAGTCACACAGGATCACGATGTATCAAATTGCTCTAGGTTATAACACAATATAGCAATACACACTTTATGGATTACACCTTCTTTATACATTACGTACATCAGAGATGTGAATTACTTCAAAGTAAAATGCGTACCAGGTATATTGTAAGGCTTCCGTGTACTGCAATATCTCTTAAGAAAGCTTACGTAAACATAAACAATATCCAGTCAGATCAAAATATGTGGATCGTTGTTGTCAAACTACCTAAAGCTAAGTACTTTAATTGATGATTGCTTGAAAAAATACCCGTTCTGTCATTCCTTTCATTCTTCTTTCAGGACTCTGATTTGTTCCTCATGAAACTACATCAGTGCATCCCGCCATGGAGTCTCATATATGTATTAATCGTGGTGGTTAACCTGCCAAAATCGAACGCTGTCATCGAGAAAGGCGATCTCCCACCAGAATTACTAAAATGCTACCAGGACTATTCCCGTGTCAGCTTGCGAGATGTTGTTGGGCAAACAATGCTTTGGTTCTGTGAGGCACCGGTCGTCCGCTCCCTCATAAATACTGCCAGGCAGCCACGAAAGCCCCCGTCCTCCGTCCGCTATGTCAGTGGGCTTGTGGACAAGGTGATCGCCAAAAAGGGAAAACGGGTGAAACGACAATCTCAACAGCCCGAAGGGAAATGTCGCCGAAAGGAATACAGAATGCTTAGCGACCAGGAGAGGAATGTGTACCACAGGGCCATCATAGCTCTCAAGCAAGACACTGTAAGTAGAATTAACTTTGGTTGCCTTTTGGGGCCTCATAGTAACTCTGCAGCTCTTGGCATGGGTTCATAGGGATCGAAATTTCAGATAGCAGCGGTAATATATCTTGTTGTACGTATCGCATTAGATCGATCTAACCTACAGTTTTGCCATGATGATTTCTTGACAAATGTGATATAAAATGGTATTGTTTTGCCACGAAAACCTTAAGGTCAGTTATGGCGTACGATTGTTAAACTTTCTTTTCCTGATTCATAGTTTATATTGCTGAAACCAGGCAATAGAAAGGACGGCAGAAATTTAATTTTAATCTTTCGTTCATTTACTATTCATGAAGTTTTTGCATTTTTCTGACTGACATTTTTCTGATTTTTCTGTGTGAAGCCCATTTCTGGCGTCCACCGCCGTGATATTGCTGGAATATTGCTAAAAACGGGTCCTTAACTTAACTCACCCTCTCTCTTTGCTTTGAGACTACTGAAGGTTTTGCTCCACGACGACTGCGTCGGGACTAACCTGTCAGTAAGTCCAGACAAATGAATATGTATTTATTTGCTGGTATGTGTCTTCATTCCAAGGGGGCCTCAATGTCACCTCGAACTGTCGGGGTCGCTAACTTGCTTTATAGCGTGTCATCATACCTGGATGGGTTGGGGCGCTACTCATAGTATCTCACTCTAGTTGGTCGAGTCTAGATCAATGATACAGGCACGATGTAGACTGCAGCTACAATCAACAAACCTGTGAAAAGGAATGATGGAGAACTCGCCAGTCCGGATGTACACGCGACAATTCTGTGAATACACACATGCATCATCCCTATTTGCAGACTGTTGAACCCAACAAGTACGATGCCCTTGCTACCCTCCACACTGGCCTAACTACAAGCATTGCCCATGCCGGACCAAACTTCCTGGGTTGGCATCGTGTTTACCTGCTCATGTAAGTACTATGTCCAAATCTGTGCACGACTAGACCTCGACACTGTGTCTTATTTGCCGTCAGTATCATTGAAGGATGTTTGCTTGAGAGAAACCGTCATTATCAGTAGTTTTTAAAGAGAGCTTCAGATAAATCACAATTTCAAAATCAGTTCTGAGTTACATTCGTACAAATACGTAACAAAAGTGTATTTCTTTACACACCTCTGTAAAAGGATCGAATGAAGGCATCATAGACACAATAGTCTACGGTTGTGAATAATCCGTATTCAAGGCACTGCACTGAAAGTTAACCAGACACGAAATTACACTTGAACAGACACAAAATTATATGTTGCCCGAAACATCATTTAGATCGGCAGAAAAAAACGTCATCTGTGTTTTATTTTTTTCCATCTGTTTATGTATTGCAAGCACAATATCCATCACGAATCTACGATCTACTTTGCATTCAACTCACTGTTTGGTTTGCAGGTACGAGATCGCGCTGCAGGAAATTGATCCAAGCATCTGTCTACCTTACTGGGACAGCTCACTCGACAATGAACTGGAGGACCCTCGCCTGTCTCACATCTTCAGCCCGGACTTCCTTGGTGGAGGAATTAATACCGGTAATGGTGGCGTTGTGAGTGATGGACCCTTTGCCGGATGGGAAACCCCCAATGATGGTCCTCTGATCAGAAATATAGGAGGAGACGGAGAGCTTTTTACCATAGAGTCGATTGAAGCTATTTTATCCCGTGAAAGGACCCGAGACATCATTCCACCCAACTCACTCCCTGAGAATGATCTCGAGTTCCACCATGGCGGTATCCACGTCTATATGGGAGGTTTGATGATGCAGCTGGAAACAGCAGCGTTTGATCCTGTTTTCTTCCTTCACCATACTTTTGTTGACTACATATGGGAACTCTTTAGAACAAAGCAGAGAGCGCTCCGTATCGATCCACAGTTAGACTACCCTGAGAATTTTGGCACATCTTTCCATGCGCATAATGCAACAATGGGCTTCAATCTGAACTTGACAGCAGAGCAGGGATACAGTGATGATTTGATGGCAACGTATGAGTACGACCCATCCCCTGATTGTTCTGAGAGACGACCAACTTGCGGATCCAGATATCTTAGCTGTAACACGGCAAGGGGTAGATGTTATCCTGTTGATCCATCTACTAGCCCTCCAGAGCCACCTACTGGCATGCCAGGGTGTCGTCCTGGTCAACCAGGATGTCCGACAAGGCCTCCCACAAGGCCTCCTACAAGGCCTCCCACAAGGCCACCTACCTGTCGGCCTGGTCAACCAGGGTGTCCAACAAGTCCACCAACGCCTGTGCCAAACCCACCCAAACAACCCTGCAAGCAAGAGGTTCTCCCCACACAGAACAGTTTTTGTATTGACGGTACATGTGATACCAATGGCTGGGTGTATGTGCCGGTTAAGGTTGTTTCAATGCGACCTCCTGGCCTAACGAAATACGACTCGTACCCAATGTCTAATGGAAGAGTTAGCAAAACGAGCGACATCTACCAGCCATCTGCATATGCTGAAACGAACCGCTATATATCAAGCGTACGAGGTGTTCCCAAAACATATGACAGGTGTGACGATGGTAAAGGGTTCGGCCAAGTGTATGTCCAAGCAACTGGACTCAGTTACAGCGGGATATACAAGGAATCAGCTATCACTGACCAGCGTCTTGCCACATCACTGTCGATTGCTTACCTTGCAGTAAAGGATCCTAGGAACGGCCCAGTCAAAGCTTTATTCAGAGCATTTGACTCCTGCGGAAGAATCTGTCATACAGCTTGTAAGGTACCAGGAACCAATGACTATGAGCCTTGTTCAGGAGTCCTCAACATCAATGATGTTGCTGGAAGACCAAAGCAGTACAGCAAAACGTATGGACAAGCTGCCCTCAATACATGGGGTTATGTACAGAACCAGGACTGCCCAAGCTTTCTCGTTGACGACATCGTCCTCACCTTCTACTGCGACTACAGGGAACGCCTACCATGGTCAGATGCGAGGTCCGCACAGATCAAAGCAAACCCCAAGACAGTGGTCGCATTGAACACAGTGCCGGCACCAGAACCAGCACCTCCAGTCGTACTGAATGGTTTGTATCTTTGTTCAATCCGTGTGATTTCCCAGTTTCACTTCACAACCCTTTTCTGATGTCTGATTAATTTTCTAATTCAACGAATGCATGCAGTCTGTAATACTGAAACTACATCACAGCGACCTATAAATAGTCCAAATTGGACCAAACAAACGCAACACAAACACTGTAAACATAGATTAACTGTTTATCGGGTATTTCTACAAACATGGGGTTTGGGCAGCTTTTGTGTCCTTGATACCCTTTGGTTTGCAATGAAATGAAGCACGTGACATTTCTTGAAGTGTATATTTGGACACCAACAAAATCGGTCGATTTATTAAGTAACAAATCTAATAGAAAACATTTCTGATAATCATCCATTAATATACACAATTTCAGCATTTGAAACTTTATTTACAGAATGCAAGGTGTCCGATGACTGCATTCTGGACATCCCGTGCTTGTCCACCAAGAAGCAATGCAGTGGATATGGCAAATCTCACAAATGCAGGGGATCGTGCAACAAGTATGCTGTGTGCAACTATGGTCAGTACTGGGTGAGGAAGTGTCCGTATGACTGGTCCTACCACAAAAAACTGGCAGACCTGCACATCTCGCGTCAAATGCATGGACACGTCCCCTGCACAGACTCCTGCGAGGCAAATACAGAGGACGTGGAACGTGAACCCCAGACGAAACACATACCTTCAAAACCTAGGACGAATGGTCTTTGGTTCCAGAAGGACTGGAGGAAGCATTTTTGGATAATTTCTGCCTTGATCTACACCTGGATACGCTCGTTTTCCCTATGTACCAGCATTTTAAAACGTTGAACATGTTTACATTTTTTTCTCTTTTCAATTTGGCTGCTTTGAAATATTCCCAGATTAAATTGCTGTTGGTTTCCAGCTAGGTATAAAGTACATTCACTAGAGACGTAACACATCAGAAATCACACACGTGCTTGGGTATTCGACACAGTGTTCCGCCACGAGACAGCGATGCTGGCAATTATCCGTGAAAGTCCTAGAAATCCAATTTGTCACAGTTTGGGCTTTTGTGCCCAGTCGAATCTGTTTCGGCAGGGGATCGAGACTGACTGTTTTCTGGCGTTGACAATTATGTATATTATTAACGTTATCCGCTAGTTTGGATACAGGTTATATGTGTATATATGTAAAAGGATACTTTTTTACAATGTGAAAGTGGGTAAAACGCATAATAAAATAGTTTTTACTCATTTTATTCCTTGTCTTTTCTTGATCGAAATGAAAATGTCTTTTCATATTTGCGCAGGGATATATCAGTAAACATTTCTCTTATGTAGATATTTTAGTGAAGATAAACATCGGGTCGTTCCCAGAGTATCCATCGGGGCGCACATTTTGGAATGTTCACAATTTGTCAATTATGGAATACATACAGAATCATTCAAATTGATGTCAGTAAAATATATTTTTTTGAATTCAGGTTATGAAGATTTTTGTGTTCAAGCTAATTCACATACGATAGCGTGATGATACATGTTAAATACCTGTTAAACAGGTACACCATAACATATGGAATCATTTACATGCGGAACCTCGCAGTATCAGAATGTAGGTCACCCATGAAATAAATATTTAGATTGTGTCAGTAACAATGTTCCCCCCATTCATAAATCACTAAATTCTTTCATGTTTTTCTGTCACTTTATTCATGTTTAATTTATCATATTCAAATGAATATGACTTAGGTATGATTATACTTTGAACACAGCAGGGGCGTATATGTTCATACCCAAGCACCTGTGTGGAAATACACAGACACATTACATGTAATACATTACACACAGGGAAGTTCTGTTTATTGCTTCTTCTCTTTTTTAGATATATAGTAAACACAATGACGACATGTTGAACATTGCGTGCACTTTACACAAGTAAACATAAAAAAATAATATGCATGTGATGACACATGTTCTCTCACCGATGGGGCGGTGGGGTAGCCTAGTGGTTAAAGCGTTGGCTCGTCACGCCGAAGACCCGGGTTCGAATCCCCACATGGGTACAATGTGTGAAGCCCATTTCTGGTGTCCCCCGCCCTGATGTTGCTGGAATATTGCTAAAAGCGGCGTAAAACCAAACTCAGTCAGTCAGTCAGTCTCTCACCGATTATTTGATTTTATAACTTATATGCTGAAACTCTTCGAAGTTTGTGCTATAACTGTGCACATAGTTTAGCTGAGATTTCCTACGGATGTGGAAAGGATTGTTTCTATTTAACCATAATTCTCCTTTCTCTTTATCAAATGTGTTCGAACATTCCTTGAACGTTGTCTCACGTGGATATATCGAGAGACGTGGTACGGAACAGTATATTTTCGTGTGCTTGTTTCCTGCCGCCATGATGAAAACAACACAGACAATACCGTTCATAAGCATATTCTATCTGATGTGAAGTAGTCTTACAGTACCCACTATATCAGAAACGTGTTTAGAAATCACAAGCAAATGGTGATGGTACCAGATGTCAGCGGAAATATGTCCCTCGTGAAATACACATGCATGGACAGGCTGTTGATAGCCTGGTACAACACGGTAACAAAATATTCATAATTGATGACAGTCTGGGAATCGAATCAAGAATTCGGTAGACAAGCAATTAGAGAGCCCTAGAGTATTGATAAAATGCACAAAAACATACTTTACTTTATATTTCGTGTTCATTCATGTTCAAAATACAGTACTCTCCTAAACCCATTGGAAATGTGGGTCAAGTATTGTGAAAGAAGGATTCTTTTAATTACATGTTCAAAATGCGAGTGCATCGAAAAAGAGGAAATCTATTCATGAATACATCTGATTACTATGGAGAAATATTTTCTGAATAATAGTACCATTTTTCTCCTTGTATATATTGTCTTGTGGAAAAGTAGTTAACATTCAAATGTCAATGAACATTTTAGCAGCTAGTGTATAAGTTGGACTTAAGCAATTGTAATGCGTTCTTTATGTTAATGTAACGCGTTCTTTATGTTAATGTGTGCGTCTTATTAATTACTGATTGTTTAGACCACTTAACCCCAACGTTTCGTCTTGAATCCAAGTTTGGTAATCTTAAGTAATGCATTTGGATATAAATACAGCAATGATCCAAAATTCAAACTAATAATGGCCCACGAAAGAATTACTCTCAGCAGCAATTATACTTGCGTGAATATGAAGTCAAGGTGCAGACAGAGCATAACGTTTGATATGAATGTTGCAAGATTCATATTCTGTAAGTAAATCACTCTGTGTTTGCGTACTAGCCATAACTAAGTTACTGGGAAAGTACAATTCAATGTAAGAATATCATGTTTTTAAACTAAACGTAATGACATGATCCATTAATACAGTTAAGAACTATTGTGAACACTCTGCAAATGGAATGAAGTGTACATCACCAAAAAAATATGTTTTCGCTCTGCTGTTTGGGTTATCAAATTGTTATGCCATCCATAACGAGCTTAGGGTTAGAAACAACATTTGCAGATAATAAATTATTAAGGATTATAATACACAAACACAACAGATATATTCTATGTTTGATTGCATAACTTTTAATACGAATTTCTGTACAATAACATTTATTGTTTGCCTATCGATACTCATAAGTGGACTTCGCTTGACGAAATTCTTAAAACTATATATATATTTATATATGTGTGTGTGTGTGTGTGTGTGTGTGTGTGTGTGTGTGTGTGTGTGTGTAATATCTAATGAATAATGATTGATATACTGTTACGTGCTTCTGACGTCAAAGACTTAAATTTTTCAGAAACGCTGACAATTGTTCTGCCACAATCAAGAAGATATTACGTAAATATCTAAACTAAAATATTACATTTCCTTATTGGTTGTCGCCAGAGGATTAAAAAAGGCCGCTGTACCTGTCTCCGGGTTGGCTTACATTTTCACACTCTTTACCAGAATTTGATGAACCAGGTATCACGTGACCTACATACAAGAGCCGTCAAGAGGCTAATGCATCATCTCCTGGTGTTAAACACACCCAGACCATCACGCGCTGTACTTGATCTCTTACATCTGATTGGTGGGACTCATTTTCGTTTCCTGGTTCATGGTTATAAGAGGGAAGGGTGATCAAAGAATAGACCGAAGGGATCATAAGCCACAACTGTTCATCAGAACCTTGAGGTACGAAACATTTGTAGATTGATACTAGTGATGTCATACGAGAGAGACGTGTAGAATCTGAGATGGGACAAAGTAGAGATATTTCTCAATCTGTTCTATTGTAATTTCTGCTTTGATGTGTTATTGTTAATTCTTCAGATAATGTAATTTCTCTTCTTCTCAATATTGTGAACAATATACTCATTCTGCCATTCCTTTCAGTCTGCTTTGAGGAATCTAATTATTCTTCATGAAACTACACCAGTCCGTCCCATCATGGAGCCTTATACATGTAATAATCTTGGTGGTTAACCTGCCACGCTCTATTGCCATCATAGAGAAAGACGATCTCCCTCCTGAAATACAAAAATGCTACCGCAATTATGCCAATGTCAGTTTGCGAGATGTTGTTGGGCAAACACTATCCTGGTTCTGTGAGGCTCCGGCCGTCCGGACTCTTAGAAACAGTGACAGTCCGGCGCCAACGCCTCTGTCTTCCGTCCGCTATGTCAGTGGGCTTGTGGACAAGGCGATCGCAAAAAGAGGGAGCCGCGTGAAACGACAAGCTCAACAATCCGGAGAGAGGTGTCTGAGGAGGGAATACAGAATGTTGAGTGACCAGGAGAGGAATGTGTACCACAGGGCCATCATAGCTCTCAAGGCTGACACGGTAAGTAATTATAACTTCTTATTGAGATCTCAAGTATAATAGTAACGCAACTTTGCAAATCTGAAACTCTTGGCATGTGTAGAGCAGGGATCGAGTGTTCAACTGGCAGAGGTATTATTTTCTTCACCACGTGTCACAGAAGATTTAAACTAAACATAATTGCTTTAAGCATGATAAAGTAAGTAGATACAACTCTGACAGCTGATATAGATACACTTTTACGTTAAAAGTAAAAGATTCTTACGACATTTCCAGTGGCATATGGTCTTTCATACAATGAAGATTTGAATTTGCGTTATGTTCCAAAGGCATGGAGAGTTCTACCTATTATTCGCTTTTCCTTGAGCATCAGAATAGCCGATGTTAGGCTCTGTGTTGTGTTGAAAACTGAAAGCAACAATCTTGGCCGGAATGGTCAGTGTAGTGGTCATTTCTCTATGCAGACTGTTGAGCCCAACAAGTACGATGCCCTTGCTGCTCTTCACACTGGCCTAGCTACCAGCATTGCCCATTTTGGACCAAACTTCCTGGGCTGGCATCGTGTATACCTGCTCATGTGAGTACTATCCTCATCCACAGGTGACTCGTCACCATTAAGTGGCCTCATTGTCATAAGTGTGTCCATAATTCGCTTTGTTCATAGAATTCAAGGCTGCTCTCACTTTATCTTGGTGGTTAAAGGGTTCGCTCGTCAAGCCGAAGACTCGGGTTCGATTCTCCACACGCGTACAATATGAGAAGCCCATTTCTGGTGCCCTCCTAACTAGCAGCTATTATATGCCTGGAATTGTCAAAAACAACACTTCACTCACTCTTTGTATTGCAGGTACGAGATCGCGCTGCAGGAAGTTGATCCAAGCATCTGTCTACCTTACTGGGACAGCTCACTCGACATGGAACTGGAGGACCCTCGCCAGTCTCCCATCTTCAGCCCGGACTTCATTGGCGGAGGAACTGATACCGGTAATGGTGGCGTTGTGAGTGATGGACCTTTTGCTGGATGGGAAACCCCCAACGATGGCCCGTTGATCAGAAATATAGGAGGAGATGGAGAGCTTTTTACCACCCAGGCCATTGAAGCAGTTTTATCCCGTGAAAGGACCCGAGACATCGTTCCACCCAACTCGCTCCCTGAGAATGATCTCGAGTTCCACCATGGCGGTGTCCACGTCTATATAGGAGGCCTGATGAATCAGCTAGAAACAGCATCGCGAGACCCTGTTTTCTACCTTCACCATGCTTTTGTTGACTACATATGGGAACTCTTCAGGACACGACAGAGAGCACTCCGTATCGATCCACAGTTAGACTACCCTGAGGAATTTGGCTCTCCGTTCCATGCGCCCAATGAAACAATGGGCTTCAATCTGAACTTGACAGCAGAGCAGGGATACAGTGATGATTTGACGGCAACGTATGAGTACGAGCCATCCCCTGATTGTTCTGAGAGACGACCAACTTGTGGATCCAGACATCTTCGCTGTAACACGACAAGGGGTAGATGCTACCCTGTCATTCCACCCACTACCACTCCAGAACCGCCTACCGTCATGCCAGGGTGTCGTCCTGGTCAACCAGGATGTCCTACAAGGCCTCCCACAAGGCCTCCTACAAGGCCCCCTACAAGGCCTCCTACCTGTCGGCCTGGTCAACCATGGTGTCCTACAAGGCCTCCCACAAGGCCTCCTACAAGGCCCCCTACAAGGCCTCCTACCTGTCGGCCTGGTCAACCATGGTGTCCTACAAGGCCTCCCACAAGGCCTCCTACAAGGCCCCCTACAAGGCCTCCTACCTGTCGGCCTGGTCAACCATGGTGTCCAACACGCCCACCAAGCCCAACTCCCATGGCAACGCCTGTGCCAAACCCACCCAAACAACCCTGCAAGCAAGAGGTTCTCCCCACACAGAACAACTTTTGTATTGACGGCACATGTGATACCAATGGCTGGGTGTATGTGCCGGTCAAGGTTGTTTCAATGCGACCCCCGGGACTCAAGAAATACGACTCGTACCCAATCTCTAATGGAAAAGTCCGTAAAACCACCGACATCTACCAGCCATCTGCATATGCTGAAACGAACCGCTATATAAACGGTGTCCGTGGTGTTCCCAAAACATATAATAGGTGTGACGATACCAAAGGTTTCGGCCAAGTGTATGTCCAATCAAGTGGACTTAGTTACAGCGGGGTATACAAGGAATCAGCTATCACTGACCAGCGTCTTGCCACATCACTGTCGATTGCTTACGTTGCAGTAAAGGATCCTAGGACCGGCCCAGTCAAAGCTTTATTCAGAGCATTTGACTCCTGCGGAAGAATCTGTCGCACTGCTTGTAAGGATCCAGTCACAAACAGATTCGATCCTTGTTCAGGAGTCCTTAATATCCAAGATGTTGCAGGGAAACCAAAACAATACAGCAAGACCTATGGCGAAGCTACTCTAGATACGTGGGGTTATGCAGAGAACCAGGACTGTCCCAGCTTCCATAGTGAGGACAATTTCCTCACCTTCTACTGCGACTACAGGGACAACATACCATGGTCAGATGGCAAGTCTTCACTCAGCAAACCAAACCCCAAGGCCGTGGTACCGGTGAACCCCCACGTGTCACAACCAGCACTTCCAGTTACGCTGCGTGGTACGTATTTAGTACTCAACAACGCAATTTAGTTTATTAGTATTTCCCATTTTTTTAAATCTTGCCACAGCGGTGTCTCGACGGCATTTAAATAATTGAATGTGTGGAAGGCTAAATACTGAGTTATGTGTGAGACGCGTGTGTGGAAGGCTAAATACTGTGTTATGTGTGAGACGCGTGTGTGGAAGGCTAAATACTGAGTTGTATGGGAGGTGTCTGTGAAAGGGTAAATGCTGAGTTGTGTGGGAGGTGTCTGTGAAAGGCTAAATACTGAGTTGTATGGGAGGTGTCTGTGAAAGGGTAAATGCTGAGTTGTGTGGGAGGTGTCTGTCAAAGGGTAAAAACTGTGTTACGTGTCGGAGGTGTCTGTCAAAGGGTAAATACTGAGTTGTATGGGAGGTGTCTGTGAAAGGCTAAATACTGAGTTGTATGGGAGGTGTCTGTGAAAGGGTAAATGCTGAGTTGTGTGGGAGGTGTCTGTCAAAGGGTAAAAACTGTGTTACGTGTCGGAGGTGTCTGTCAAAGGGTAAATACTGAGTTGTATGGGAGGTGTCTGTGAAAGGCTAAATACTGAGTTGTATGGGAGGTGTCTGTGAAAGGGTAAATGCTGAGTTGTGTGGGAGGTGTCTGTCAAAGGGTAAAAACTGTGTTACGTGTCGGAGGTGTCTGTCAAAGGCTAAATACTGAGTTGTATGGGAGGTGTCTGTGAAAGGGTAAATACTGAGTTGTATGGGAGGTGTCTGTGAAAGGGTAAATGCTGAGTTGTATGGGAGGTGTCTGTCAAAGGGTAAATACTGAGTTGTATGGGAGGTGTCTGTCAAAGGGTAAATACTGAGTTGTGTTGGAGGTGTGTGTGAAAGGGTAAATACTGAGCTATGCGTGGGAGGTGTGTGTGAAACGGTAAATACTGAGTTATGTTTGGGAGGGTGTGTGTGTGTGTGTGTGTGTGTGTTTGGGGTGGGGGGTTGAACGGTAAATGTTGAGTTAGGCATGATGCTGATGACACCAAGAGGTCGTCATTCATCAGTACTTACTACAAGCAAGAACTACTGTTGACGTATCCTGCGCCGGTGATCGACAGAATTTATTTACAATAGAAGTGGAAAAACCCTTTCCACATTCATAGAGTCGAGTGTACAATTGCGACTGTATCATGAGCATACATTTGTTTCAGCAGTATTACAGCTGTACGATTTTGTTTGTAAACAAATCGAGTCTGGACCAGACAATCCAGTGATTGTCACCATGCGCTACGATCACCGAACATGTGTTTATGAATCGCTATGAAGAACACAATCCATAACTATCAATTGATGTATTTTTATCAATGATGATGTTATTTTTCAGAATGCAAAGTTTCTGATGATTGTATCCTGGATGTTCCATGCATGTCGGGCAAAGTCCAGTGTCGCAGTTATGGCCAAACTCACAAATGCAGAGGGTCTTGTAACAAATATGCTGTGTGCAACTATGGTCAGTTCTGGGTGAGGTCGTGTCCTTTCGACTGGTCCTACCACAAATACGACCATACATGCACATCACTCAACAGATGTAAGAACACTTCACTTCCGAAACCTCCCGCCCGAAAACAAACCGGGCCGACATGGAATGTAAACCCTAGACAGAGCTCATACTTTCAAAACCTCGGACGAAGGGTCATTGTTCCCGGAAATTTTGGTCACGTTTTTGGATAAATTTTAACTTAATCTACTCCTTCTCTCTTATGTACTAGTAACTAAGAACGTTTAACGTATTTGCCTATTTGTCCATGTTTTTCTTTTCTCTCATTTCTAGTTGATTTGCCAAAGTTTTAAAGCTTTCGGAAGTAAATTGTTGTTTGTTTCCTAGGTTTTTTCTCGCATGTTAATTCATTTCATAGTGAGATCAGTGGGATGAGATACACAGCACTACTGCTTCCGCGGTAACCGTACATGTGTTTGGTTGTTCAAAACAGTGTTCTACTATAGGACAACGTCGTACAAACAATAATCTGTTAAATCCAGATGATAAACTGCTAGAAATCCAGTTTAACGCAGCCTGTCTTATAAGCATTATCCGTCACCATAGAAACAGGTTGCATGTGTACATACAAACAATATATCTTTGTACACACTGAAAGTGGCTAAAAGTCCTAATAAATTATTTTTGTTGTACTACCTGTTTGTCTATATACAGAGCACACGGAATTCAAATTTAACGTATCAGTAGATGGGCTTTCGTGTCAGAAGATCACTGGATTGCCTGGTCCCGACCCCAGTGTATACAGACCGCCGTCTTTTGGCAGGAGCACTGCCGTGCTGCATCAGGCAACACACAAGAACTGCTATGGGAATTGTGAAAGTGTTGACTTCCACCCGTTGGGCAGGATGTCTATACCCTTTTCACCAAGTCGATGCCATTACAGAAGTTTAGTGTTCCGTTCATAATCTCCCCGCTGTTTTAGCAGACAAATATGGACTGAGTACCCTCTAGCGTTTAGGTTTCCGAAAAACATTCTGTTGGTGGACTGAAGTCTGCGAGTTTCGTCATAAGCTCGATATATTTTGACTGAGTAATAAAAGGCATTTGGATGAAAAACAAGAGAGATTTCTGCATATGAATACAGTCATACACGTTAATCACTGGGTTTTGGCGGTGTATAATAAAGTTATTTCTTTTAGGTGATGCATAGTTAATGCACAGAGAAACATTTTAGATATAATATTCGACCTTTGTCCGTAAATAAACACAAACGGTTAATTGGTGATATCATATAATATTAATATTGTTCTGTATATTACATAATGGATAATTAATTTCGACGTTTTCAATTTTGGGACAGATTTCATCCACAATTTACAAAAGGGCTATTTTTACTGAAATATTTTCATCATAAGTTTTTACTTGTAAATATATTCCAAGTTGAAGTGAGGTCTTAACATAATATTCTTAACGTGAACTATCCTCTGCAGTTAAAAAAGTTATAATTTATATGTTGTAAACATGTCAAAACAAGTTGCAAGTTATAGACCGATTTCTTCAACAAGCATAGCTACATTTTTCTAAATTCTTCAACAAACATATCTACATTTTTCGTAATTCATAATTAAACATATCTACATTCCCATTATATGTAAAGCAAACCATCAGAAGATTTCATTCCTGTATTTCATGATGATTTTAAGGGGGTCACCCATGTTGTTCTGGGGAGGTGTGTGTGTGTGTGTGTGTGTGTGTGTGCGTGCGTGCGTGCGTGCGTGCGTGCGTGCGTGCGTGCTTGCTGTGTGTGTGTGGGGGGGAGGGGGGTATACATTTTTCTTTAGTTATTTAATTCACATTGCTTCTCGATAAAAGTCATCAACACCCCCTAGCCATAAATCACGAACGGTCCCTTGGGTACATAGAGAATCTCACCCAAGTGTCTACTGATATCAATTATATCACCACGAGTTGATAAAGTTACAAATATCCGAGGCTTGCCGAGGATATTTTACCTTTATCAACGAGTGTTGATATATTTGATATCAGTAGACACGAGGGTGAGATTCTATTTATCATCAAAATCATTCTTCATTAGTTTTCAATGAAAAATGCACATCTCTCAACTCTGTACTACCATTAGATCTGCAGTGCAGCGATGTCATAGCATTGTGACGTCATCAAGTTGATGACGTCATAGCATTGTTGGGGCATTGTACAAAATCTACTGTCAAAACGATATCTCGTAGGAGATATCATATGATCTCACACAAGCGATATCTCCTGTGGAAAACAGTTTTGGATGATAAAATCGAATTACGTCAAGTAACAATATGGCAGATATGCATTAAATTACAGTTTCTAATATAATTACTCTTTTACTTGTGGGGCGGTGGGGTAGCCTAGTGGTTAAAGCGTTCGCCCGTCACACCGAAGAGCCGGGTTCGATTCCCCACATTGGTACAATGTGTGAAGCCCATTTCTGGTGTTCCCCCGCCGTGATATTGCTGGAATATTGCTAAGAGCGGCGTAAAACCCAACTCACTCACACTCACTTTTGCTTCTGCTGTCACATTCGCTTTCCGTCAGATTTCAGAGTAGCCTATTAGGGAAGCTGGGTGAACAACTATTTACTCTATTATTTGTTCATTTCTTTTAACGACATTGATTTGAATTCTAAGAGAACAGCATGAAATACACATGTTGATACGTTGCGTTTTATTTCTATCTTTGACAAATTGGGTTTGAAAACAATCAGCTCATCAAACAGTAAAACAGAGGCCTATATATTATCTTGCGAGGTCCCTTAACTTCATTGCATAGATTGAGTTGCGATTGGGTCAAGGGCAAGGACTAGTGACCTCTGACCTAGGGACAAGCCATCAAATGGTGAAATACCTGTAGCGGGACGATGCATGGCGCACCTACTCCGATGAAAGCATGTCGGTAAAAAAACACATGAACGTGCTGCATTAAACATCATCCGCTTTTAATGTCCCACAATATACCTGGTCATCAGGTCGACTCGCGGACTGGTGATAAACAGACCGTGGAGAGTGAACGACAGCAATGACACTCCTGAATGTTGGCCCTACCGTCGTGGCTTGATCACTCACAATCAGTAATCCGTAATGACCACGGGGCCTTTAGGTCAGCCAGTACATCCCCAAATCCACGCAAAAATCCCCAAAGAAAATTATTCTTCCTCACTCTCTCTCTTTATTCAGGAGTATGTGGACCATCGGCCCATAATACAGTTATTTTCATAGCCAACAAACAGCTTGTACGTAGCTCATTCGCGTAAAATAGATACATAGCTAGATTTCGTAGCAGAGTGGAATTGTCTACAGACATCAAAGTATTAAATTTATACAAAGATGGATAAGTGTGATATTTCACAGAAATATATAATGTACGTAGAACATATTAAGAGATATGTATATTCATTTTCAAAGTGAGCACCCGAACACATATATATAGCATAATCTGAGGTTTCATGGGTTAATGATATATCTACCAGTTTCAGTAAGTAATTGATGAGAGCGGCAACGTAACTGTGCAAAAGCAATACCCTATACAACTTAAACATATCTCAGGGCCAAATACATGTTTATACAGACTGAGTGAATGTGAATAACCTTTAGAGCTTTGTGTTAATGATTGATGCCAACTCTGTACATACATATTCTGTGCCCTAATCATGAATTCAAAAAGAAAAGAGTCTAAATTGTTAATACACTGACTATTCGAGATCAATGCCAAGAAATCGGCAGTGCTCAAACCCCACCAAAGCTTTGTTAACTGAATACCAGATAGTAACTACGTATACATCCACTAAAATACCTGACAGTGTTTATTTTTTGTGAAATGTTTACGACGACTTTTCCTTTTTCTGAAACTTCTAGAGGAAGCGTCATGATGAACTGTCGTCATTAATCATGATGAAATGGTCCGTATGCTTTCAAAATGTATTTTTAAGAGACGTCTTGAGTATCGTCTATAAATCTGCACGCCACGTGCATGTTCTGACATATTGGACAGATTGGACATGTGAAAATAATACGTTAGGGGCGTTTCTCACGAAATATATAACTAATATACTTTAATATGAAGACAGTTATAGCTACCATACACAAACAACCATATTTCTATAAAACGATAACTTTGCAACGTTATGTCGAGAACTCATCAACATGAGCTCAACACGAGCCTTCCTTCTGCCCAAATCAAAGATCCGGATATGAGACACCACGGCAAAACCGTGACTTGCTCGGTTTGGGCTTGTTTTTACCGTAACGGTAGCAACGGCCGAGGTCGACTATTCCACGTCTTCATCTTGGAGGATGTACTGTTGCTCTACTTTCAGTCGTTGGCAATCTATAGCCTGTTTATATTGTGTTGTGCTCTATATTTAGAATGTTCTACATTTAATTACTAGTTTTACATTATATATGTGATATTATAGTTGTTTTTGCTGTTGTCCTTCGTTGACAAGGTTTTATAATTTACCTTTATCTATTATGAACATATAACTTGTTTTTAGTCACGAAATGGCTGAAATATTGACGATGTGTCTTTTTTACTCTCTCATCTGGAAGTGCGTGGGTTCGAACTGAGACATGACATTTTACAGGAGGTCATTCGCAACCAAAAAGTTGCATCATATATTATATATACATCTTGTGTGCTCTGGGGCGGTGGGTAAGCCTAGTGGTTATAGCGATGGCTTGTCACGCCGAAGACCCGGGTTCGAATCCCCACATGGGTACAATGTGTGAAGCCCATTTCTGGTGTTCCCCGCCGTGATGTTGCTGGAATATTGCTAAAAGCGGCGTCAAACCAAACTCAGTCAGTCAGTCTTGTGTGCTCTTTACATGTTCACAACAATTCTTCAAACGTTCAGCGCTAATAGGTAAGTTCAAAAGAAAACTCCAATATCCGTATCCACTACCTTAAACACAACCTCAAACGCGGGTGTAATCTGTGAAGATCCAGTTTGGAACTGATCTTCAGTTACCCATGCTTGTTGTAAGAGGCGACTAACGTGATTGGGTTGTCAGGTTCCCTGACTTGGTTGACACATGTCATCGGTTCCCAATTGCGTAGATCGATGCTCATGTTGTTGATCACCATATTGTCTGGTCCACCCTCGATTACTTACAGACCGCCGCCATATACAGCTGGAATATTGCTGAGTGCGACGTAAAACTAAACTCACTCACTCACAAACGCTGGTGTGTACTTTCTTTTGTTCGGTTATTATAATATACTCATGTACATAAGATGGTACACACCTGATTTAAAATGCTTAGGAAAAAACGTGTTTTCGTCTTTGTTCGAACCCACATCCTCAAAATCAGGGCGTGGAATAGTTTACCTCGGCTCAGATGACAGAACGTTGTAAAAGTATCTCTTGTCTTTTCATATTCCTTAAAAGGTCAGAAAGGTGGTTGTTTCAGTATGGCAGCTATAACGGTATTATATTAAAGTAGATCAGATAAATATTTCGTGAGAAATACCCCTAACCGGCTACCTTAAAAGGAAAGTCATACCTGTCCCTGTTCAGGGCTGTGTAGCTTCCTATTACACCCAGTAGCATGTACTAAAAACAACAGGCTATAGATACAGTGTTCGTGTCCGGACCAGATGAAAGAGCAAAGAACCTCTGATCAAACATTGCTAAAATCAGCTCGAG